TTTATTTTCATCTAATCATCTTACTTCTTTCGCTTAGATAATATATAATCGGTAAGTGGTAGGGGTAAAAAATCATTAGCTGCCACGCCCAACTGGACAAGGCTCTACCTTTTAGGGGTATGGCAATCATCCCTGTTCTATTTTATATGGGATTACCTTGCACCAGCAATATTAAGCTCTTCTTTCACAAACAGCTATCAAACTCTCCCCGTGAAATATGCAGTAATTTTTCTTTGACAATTTCAATATCATCTTTTATCTCAGACACCAGTTTTTCTGTTGGTAACGTATAACAAAATGCAGCCAATTTATAAATCGCTTTTTCAAGGCAAATTAATGTTTGGTTCTTAAAGTCCTCACTGATATTTCTAAAAATCAAAGCCAGTGAATCCGAACAAATGTTTTGGATATTTCGTTTTTCTAGTTCTGATGTGCAAAATCCAGTGCTTTGATCGCACTCGCTTGAGCATTCATAAAAATCTCCGACTCTGCAATTTCTATCATTTATACATTTTTTAGAAGTTAGGACGAGTTGAAGATAATGTATGGGGAGGACCTGATCACCATCAATAATTTTAACCTCAGAGTTTACAGATAAACCAAAGTTTCCCAAATGTGAATCACAAGACTGAAACATTCCATATGGAGTGCTTGACAGAGCAAGAACAGTGTCCATCAAAGACAAAGAGAAGTTAAATCGTTCCTCCAATGATGGTAATCGCATGCGTAGAATCTTTTGGTACACAAAGTATTTCAAATCTTCTATGAATGGAAAAATCCATTCTCTAACTATCTTAAATGTTTTCAATGATTTGTAAATGATTTCTGCATTCCTCTTTAGTGAGTCTTCGAAAGGCTCTAGTATACTAGGTAATACAGCCAAATCCAAGAAATTCCATGTGTATCCAAACACACTGTCTGCTATAACTGGCAGCTTTTCAACTGCATACAGTTTGCCACAGTACCCATACATCTCGGGAACGTGCTTACTATCATTAATAATCAACATCATTGATGGCTCTGGTGTTTGCAAAAGGGTGACCATCGTCATGGTTTCAGCAGGTGTCAGCTGCCCATCATTATTCACATCTGCTGTTTTTGCTAACCTGTCAGTCAAATCAGAACAGTTTTCACACTCTCCAAATAAAATTTTGACGGTAGCACTGATTTGATTTTTGTGGTCCTCGTTGGTTTTCAAATGACTAAATGAATATGATTCAATCTCCACTCCATTCCGTATTTTAAGAATGACTTCCTCATTCTTCCATGTGCCTTTATAAATAGCTTTGTCGGGTTGAGTTGACAAGCAAGTGTCAAAAGTTAGTGTTTTTGATTGACAGAGGTCATGACATAATGGTCCAGCTATTAAATTCTGCTCATACTGGTTACACTAGGGAAAAAAGAAAATGCATCAAATGTACATTACATAACATTTACTGCAGTTTTCGATATCCTGCAAACTCAGACATTTCAACAGCATGTCGTGAAATTGCCTTTTTAATGCCGTTAGTCAAGAACATAAAAGGTATAGACTGATTATGTTTGAATCGCCGCAGCAAAAAAACAAATAAATTTATATGATAATAATATACTGAGTTCGCAGAATATCAAAATATACAGTAAATGTTTACCCTTTGGGATTGAGTATAATTATTTGAATCATACATCTACAAGTCAATATGAGAAATATATATCAAGTATTTGAGGGTATTGGAATTTAGTATTAATACAAAGGTGATTATTGAAATTCTTGCGTGCTGATTGGTCGAGAAACTCAGATTATCACACAATAATCACCTCCAATGATAATCCAAAATGGTGGCCAGTCGCTTTGTTGCTGTTCCTAACTTTAAATAATGTCTTTTATCTTCTT